TCCAAAATGCGGTACTAGTTCCGGGAAATAGGAGTACTGGATTATTCTTTCTTACTGTGTACTTTATAGTTTTGCCTATTTTTACAGATGAAGAGAACGACGAGGAGGACTACTCAGCGAGTGCGAGCGCTATCATCAGCCGAGTCTCAGCCGGGGGCAGACGTCGCGCCGCCAATCGACGGGCGTCCTCCCACTCCCCCGAGTTTGGTCTCCCATCATGCAACAGGCGCAGATCATCCGTTTTCACCACCAGCTCCGCCGAGTAAGTCAGTTTGGAACAGCAAATTTTTGGAATAAATCGATTTCGGGAAATAGATTTGATTTTCGGCAAGAAATCGATTCAATTTTAAAATTGGATGGAAAACATCGATTTTATCCGAAATCGATTTTAAAACCCTTAAAAATCCAAGTTCGGCGGAAAAAAAATAATTATCATTAAAACTGAACTTGAAATGAAACTCGGGTCTCACGGAACCGAGGCCTAATGTGACACATCAACGTCGAAAATTTCTATTTTTTTTCAATAGTTCGATTTCGGCTCGATTTAACGATATTTCGGCGCAAAAAATCGATTAAAAATCGTCATCCTCGTGGTCAGTCACTATGCTGCCGTCATAGCGGAGAGAGCCGTAAGCGCAAAAATGAAGTTTTGAGAAAATGGGCTAACTAGAGTCGAAATATTTTATTGTTAGAAGCCTCCTTTTTTTGTCGAATTCCTACTTATCATCCGAAAGACTCTTAGAAATCACTGCTACTATCAAGACACTGCTGTGTCACTCTGTGCTCTGTGCTCATCTTTGCCCAAATGTGCTCGATCATCATAGTCTCACCAAAAAAAAAAAAAAAAAAAAAAAAAAAAAAAAAAAAAAAAAAAAAAAAAAAAAAAAAAAAAAAAAAAAANAAAAAAAAAAAAAAAAAAAAAAAACGCTGAAATGGCCCGAACTGTATGTAACATGGTGGAGAAATGGTGCTGGTTCCACACCATTTAGGGGGATTACAAAGCCAAGATATTTCAGAAAATTTTCAATTAGAGTCAAAAAAAATTTCAACAAGATTTTTCATTCAGAATCATTTTTTACCCAAATTGAAATTGTTTTGAAATAGCTTGGCTTTGTTTTCTTCGCGGAATGGTGTGGACCTATCGCTTTTTCTTCACCTTGTTTCATGAGTCTTAATAATGTGGAATTTGTTGCAGGACGGGTGTTTCAGCGGAGGAGGGTACGGGAACTGGGATGGGAGCGGAGGCGGGGGTGGGAGCAGAGACGTCGCAGGAGCAAATGTACGAGAACATGCGGCTCCACAAAGAGGTGCTCAACGGAGTCCGGCTCCAGCCGTGGCCGATGCGCCGCAAACTCTGGCTCGTCAAACAGGCCAAGCTCTTCCTGAGCAAGCACGAGGGCCAGCTCCAAGAAAGACTCGCTCAAAGTAAGAGGACTAAGGATCTCTTAGCTCGCTTCAATATCTTTTTTACTAAGGTAAAAAAAAAATCATCCATTTTTTAAAATTTAAATTTTTTACTCACTTGCACGTTTTCTAATTATTTTTCAGAAGACGCATTAGGTCAGTGCGGACCATTTTCGATGCTCGATCGCGACTGATTTTATCTCGTGTCCTTGATCCTACTTCTGGGTATGATCTTAAAAACACGAGTAAAACCGGGTTAAGGTGCACATAAGTACCTTTCGTCACACGATTAAAACGCTCGAATTGCTTTGAATGCATCACGAAATACTTTCGGGGGAGCTTTACCGCACAAGAAAATGACTT